CACACACACACACACTGTGTTTACTTTGTTGGAAAGCCACTATTATGAAAGGTAGTTTAGGAAATCCCAAACTGACAGGTGCAGCGACTTTGTTTACAAAGACATTGTCTGAAATGTAATTCATAAAAAGAGGCTGCCAATAAAAACTAATATGCAACCGTGAACTAAATAAGGAAACTGAAGAAAAAACAAACTTGCTCGTAAATTACTTAGTTAATTAAGACAAACTCTATAACCAATTCAAAAGGAGATTTCAATCTCAAGGGACCTCCTGGGTAAATAAAGGTTACTGGTCAGTATCACTGGTTGTTTCATACAATTAACATTATATTTCATTCATTTTAGTTTAAAACAAAGCTGCTAAAAGTTTTCAGTACAACTAATATATGAATCCAGGATTCAGTCTGCAAAAGTTTGCAGCTGGAACTATTTATTGAGGATCACCCACTATGTCTGGCAACCTGCACTATGTGATGATGATGGATAAACATCTTAATGTGTGTAAATCCTAATTTCTTCTGCCTGTTTTAATGACAGCTTTAAATTCAATAAGCTGAGTCTGTGAAGTGCTGGAAACAACTATGCTAATCTTTAAAGGTGTGTGTGGTTGTGTCATTAAAAATAAAAGAAGTGGCCAGAGAACACATTTAATCGTGAGCTCGCTTTGGACTTCTCTGTTTTTCTAAGGAAGTGAAAGCAGTGTCCCCAAATTTATTTGTAGTAGTAGTGATGGGGCTTATATTCAGCTTTGTACGACTCTTAAGGTAAAGATTTACCACTGAACTGTGTGTTTCTCCTGGACTTTGTGTCAATGGAAGCTGTATGGAGTCAGTTAAACTCAGATTTATGGAGAATAAGCAAATGTTTGCTGATTTTAAATTGAACCCTGTCAAAAATCTATAAGTTTATTTGATTCAAAAAATAATTTTCCCCTCCAAATTATGTCAAGATTCTGCTTTTAAAATTTTCCCACAGGGTGACAGACGGGTGACATTTTGAAACCATTCAAGCTTTGATTCTCACATCATCAGTGTGAGTTCTCAGAGGAAATGTGCAAAGGTGCAGCACATGCTACTTAAATGGAAAGCAGGCAGACTTTTTCAGAGCGTGACTTAACCAACATCCTGGTTGTTAGATCGTTAAATGTTACATTCTGCATCTTCACCTCAGCTCAGTGTTTCATCAACCTACCACAGGGACAGATGAATTCACACACCTGAGCACTGCTGCCTTCAGGAGCCATGTTATCGACGCTTCGCCGGTGTTTCTGCTGCGGAGGCTGTGCATCCTGCAAAACAGAAGGTAAGAAAAACTGTTTACAACACAGCATCGTCCAGGTTAATGACGTTATCAGCACGGTTTATGGATGTGGTGATGATACTGGCTGTAAAAGTGATGGGAAACATGGCTGACCCAAATAGAAAAAGTCAGTTGGAAAATGCAAGTTTGTTTGTATATAAGCACACATTGTATGTATTAAAAAATCATCATAATTTTATGTGAAATCTATATCTTTTCCTGTAGAGTAAGACAATTATAACTTTAGTTATAGTTAGTTAGTTCTTAGTTTGTATCCCCCTTTCCTGTATATTCAAAATATATTAAACAACCTTATTGCACTTTTTTTTTATTTGCACTGAGGTACAAAAGAGTTTGCTTTGGATAAAGCCTGATCCCTGCAGCTGTATCTGCCCTAAACAAAGGGCCCGCTGAGTGTATGGTCCACCTGTCATGATGATGGTGGATGGTGTGTTTCTTTGTTGACTGTATGGTGTTGCTTACAGGTGCAGCGATGTGGAAATGAATTTCACCCTTGTAGGACAATAAATTGAATCTTGAATCTTGAATACAGAACATACACAGTGTACCATAATGTATGAGATCTGTATGAATCATTTGTGACATAAAACACAAACATTTAAGTGTGAAAATCGTCTCAAAGTCTAGTTGTCTCGGGGGACGTCGGGATTGTCGTGCCCGTGTGGTCCGATCCAACAGACGAGCATCTGTAGCTCAAACTGCTGAATGCTGGTTCTGAAAGAAAGGGGTCAGAACACACAGTGCATCACAGTCTGTTGGTCCGGGGCTGATCGGTGTAAGTAATTTTACCAATACTGCTACTGATCAATGCATCCGGGAACCTTTGACCTTTGACCTTTGACTGAGATAAGGGAAAACTCCCACGAATAAACCCCTTTAATGGTCCAGTGTGCAACATTTAGGAGGATCTATTGGCAGAAATGTAATATAATATACATGGGTATGTTTTGTGTGTATAATCACCTACAAAATAAGAATTATTGTGTTTTTGTTACCTTAGAATGAGACATCAGAGGGAGGAAGCGGGTCCACCATGTTCAACCCCCACAACACATCAATTCTTACATTCAGGTAATTACACACCAATGAAAACATACCTTTGAATATTGTATTTCATTTCTGACAATTTTTTAATTCACAAAAGTAAAAAAAAAATGTAATAAAAGAATAAAAATTTCGATCTGACAAACCTGAACAACAAAGTTGTGATTGTTCTCTAATCTGCCCTCTGCTATGGTTTGGTGAAGTTCGGTTTTGCTAAAACTCCTTGGTTGATGTTTGGATAAGATTGTGGTAATGGTAAAAAGAAATCAGATTTCACAGTAGGTACAGCAGGATGTGAAACAGCACATGACCACGAGGCAGATAAACAGGTAGTCAGAAAACCACTGTTGTTGTTTTTTGTTGAAGGTCCACAGCCACACTTTGTCTCATTTAAGTCAATTTTTAAGCAGAAATAGTGAACATTTAATGGTTACAGCTCAAATGCGATCGGTCGTTAAATGATAAATTGAAATTTGATGTAAATTGAATTTGATGGGCATCTTTCTAGGTTTTCTAACATGTTAAACTCCGAATGATTCACAAATTAAAGGTGGGTTTAGTTCTGCAGACCTATTTTATATATTTTGTTCAACTGTGTATTTACATCATCTCAAATGTTTTTAACAATGTTCAAACTCACCGGTCGCCTGCCAGTGGCGTCACATGCCCTTTTGCATTACATTTTTCCACTAAATTCTTTAGATCTTCAGTGTTTTTTTACTCTTTTAACCAGATGAAAAATTTTAGCTGTCTGGATCTCAAGTTATCAGAGAAACAACAGCTCGACTCGCAGCCCCTCCGGAACGTCTTTTGTCTGTTGAACAGCAGACTGTCATGAAGCAGACAAAGGACAAAGGATGTTAACTGTGACCATGGTAGAAAATGATGAACACTAAAGGAATCCTAAAGTCTGTGTGGGTTGTTCTGATGTGAGAGACCCCATAGTGGCAGAAATTACACATATAAGAAACATGGCCATTAATTTGGGTCATAACCAATCCTAAATGGAATTTCTTGACCTGTTGGTGGCTCTAGAGAAAAGGTAAGGGGAGCCCCAAAGTAATCAGGATTCGTCCACTGCAGACCATGAACGTCTGTACAAAATTTCATAACAATCCATGAAATCGTTGTTGAGATATTTCTCTCTTAACCAAAGACGAGTTACCAACATTGCCTCAGCCCTGTGTGTCTAAAAAAAGTCCAGCCTGTGTGTGTGTGTGTACCTCTGTGTTTTTGTGTCAGTGTGTGTGTGTGGGTGTGTCAGTGTCTCTGTGTGTGTGTGTGTGCGAGGGCTTTCCACCAGTCTGGGTTTTTAATTTACATCTAGAGCAGGAGGAGGAGCCTGCAGCTGCTCTATAAAGTCCCACTGACTGTAAACTCAGACTCAGCTGTGACAGAGAGCAGCCTCTAGGAACGATCAGGGTGAGTACCAGCTGCTGGGAGAACTAAAACAAAAAGCCTGATCTATCTGTCGGGGAATCGGTTAATAGCTGATTAAACTCAAGAAAAGCTCCAGAGCAACTTATTCCACATTACAGTAACTGGTGAAGAGATTTTGTCTCAGAGAAAAGTTGTGGATACTTTCTCCAGGATCTTTCTTTCTTACAGTTATTCATTGATGACGATGAAAAATAATTCATTCAAACTGTATTTTTAATTTACTGTTATTGCATTCCTGTTTTTTATTGTGTTATTTGCATATTCTGTGTGTTTTTATTTACGTTCACTTGGTATAAAGCATGAAATACAAGGATTATTGTACTGTGATGATGATGATATAGCACCACTGGACACCAGGTTTTAAAGTTTCTCTCTTTTGTTGTGGTGTTTTGTGATTTTATTTATTTATTGATAAAAACAGAAGCTGTTGTTTTGTAGATTGAAAATATGCAGTTACTGATCTTTAAGCTTTCTTTTTATTCTAAACTATAAGAAACTATTATACAATCATTTAAAATGCACAAAATGACAGAAACAACATTAAATAATATTAGTTAAGTTAAGCAAGTTGGCAGTTAGCAAGGTTAGCATTCAATTTCGGCTTTTCACTTCACTTTTTATTGTTTAATTCACAAACATTTGCCATTTTCTCCACAGATTTGCCAGCAAGTTTCTCAGGCTGTTGGTCCCATTTCTCCTCCTGGATAACAATGGGACTCCGATCAAACCAAACAGAGAACAACAGAGGTGGAAGGTTTAGACTCCTGAGGATTTTTGGAGGCCAAAGAGGTCAAGACGCCGTGACCTCTGTACCCTCAGCGACTGATGGACGCCGCTCGTCCCAGGAAGAGGAGCCCCAAAGAGGTCAGCTAACGTTACATATAGGAACATCCAGCCGTTAGCCAACATGACCACAGACATGTTGACTCATGGGACTACCTCAGCCCACCTTTTCGCTTCCTGTACATAAAAGGAAGAAACATACATGATTGAGGAACCGGGAGTTAGCTGAGCCATTCTGGACATTATAGTTTTATTTTATTTACTGTACAGAGGACGATTTCAGAAAGGATTATTGCAGAAATGATACAGTAATAACTTAGAAAGACAGCTGCCTATACAAATTATATCAATCTGTACTTAATAAACTAATAAAAGTAGAAACAGAGAACAATCTGTGTATATTTGACAATAAGAGGGGTTTCTGAGCAATTTCCACTTAAATTATTGCCTTAATCTCCAAAATGGCAAAGTTTGGTGTCTTAATGTGGCATTATAGAGGGATTTCTGATCATTTTTATCACTTTTGAGTGGTCTGTAATGGTCACATTTGGTATAACAAATGCTACTAACCCATAAATGGCTGTAACATCTTATTAGACATGATGGGACTGGCCATAATATTTTATTCCCTCATACACTCAGATGACTAGATTTATGACTAGAAAAAGCTTTTAGATGATGTAGGTCATATGTTCTATGTAGGATATAGCTGCTGCTATCTGCCCCAGAAGATCTCATGTCATCCCCCTAAAAGAAAAAAAAACAGATTTATTATGGGAACGGGTGGAGCGGAAAAGGTTATCTGGGAAAATATGGAAGAAGCTTCAGGAAAAGCAAAAGAGGGAGGAATCTCTCTTCCATGACAGGCAAAAACAGACGTGTATACAGACTAAACCGGAAGATGATCATAATCAGGATGATACTAAAGGGGCAGTTTAATAAACTAAAGCCCACTCTATCACTTATCTACAGAAGGAAATAACAGGAAGTATTTAAGGACCAGAGATATCATAGTAGAGAAAAATACCAAATTGTAATGAGGTCAAAAATAGCAAAAGTGTTAATTTCCTTCGCAATCACTTAAAATACCTCATAGTGTGGATAATACGAGTAATACAGGATCATAATGATACCTTAGGGTAGGACAGCCTATATTTAGTATAATGTGAATAGCAATAACCTTTTAAAGTTACTGAAAAATTATACATGAATGCTCCATTACTCGATTCATTGTTTGGTTTTGCTTCTTTTGTCTGATCAAAATTCACTTGACTCTCATAGAAGACAAAGCTGGAATCAAATCACTGTGAAACTATTAAGAAAGAGAATAACTGGCAGTAATGACAATCAGCTGCAGCCTGAATATAATCTGTATTTCTTCCAGCCATTCCTGGAGGTTTAGAGTTTATTTTAAACATCTGTAAACACCTTTTGCTTTTCTCCCTTAGTGATCGCCACATTTGAAGAACTCCTTAACACAAAATGCTTCCATGAGGCCAGCCAGCTGCTGATAGAGAGAGAGGAGCGTCTGTTCGGGGAGATAACGGAGGCAAAGTCTCTCAAAGATGACAATGACGAAGTGGACAAGCTTGCTGCAGACTACGCAGACCTGGAAACCTCTGTACTGCACACCCTGAGGCTGTCTCTCACCCCGGGAGAGGTCAGCACGCAGGCTCTGGCGTCTGCTGCGAACGCCATCAAGCAGGAGATGCACCAGGACCAGCGGTGGAAAGAGAGGGATAGGACACCACCCGCCTGGAGGCCTAAGGGCTGGAAGAAGGTCCATGACGAGACCCTTCGCAGCTTGGTGGAGGAGCGTATGGACAACCCCGTTACGCCCCCTGCAGTGCAAGTGGACCAGTCGTCTCTCCAAGCGGACGTCAACAGCATGGGCAGACAGCTGAAGGCTGACCTGCTGTTGGTGGTGGAGGTGGTGAAGAACTGCTACCCACCAGAGCTGGACATCTGTAACCTGTACGCCAGGTTGTACCACCAGTACCTCAGCGCCAGACTCAGAAAGATTGCGGATTTTGTTCTGGATGAAAAGGACAGCTCTTACCTCCTGCGATGGGTGAACGTGTATTACTATACAGAGTAAGTCATGACTCTAATTTACATTTTAAGTAATCAGTACCTTTTATTTCTTCGGCCCATTCTGTTCTATGCTGGTGTAGTTTTGATATCTGTCAATGTTTGGGTCCATCAGTCCATCTTCTGTCCAACATCTTACCCAAAGCAGACCAAGATTTCTCAAACAGATTAATACGGATCAGTGTTGGGTCCAACCACTCAAGGGAGAATTAAATCAGACTAAACAAATATTTTCTTAATCAATTAATCTGTTGACCGTTTTCTCGATTGATTGTTGTTTAGTGTCGCTGCATATATAGGCATAGACCTTATAAACCAACAAGTCCCTTAATTGTTCACAGCCCAATTTTAGAATATCAAAAAGACTAAAAAACAAAACATCTCCTCGTCCTCCATCTAAGTCTGTCTGTGTTTACTTTGTGAAACCAGTTAAATGGATCCAGCTCACCCTAAAGTTGTGCAATCGTGTTAAAGTAAAACTGTGCAGGAGTGGCACAAATCCTGTGCAATGTAGCAAAAAGAAGGTCACACCCTGGTGTTCACAAACCAGTTAGTCACCCACATTTTACTGAGAACAACAAGTTGCTGCCTGTCCTTGTTTTGAAGTTTAGCTACTATATAATGCTATAATAACTGAAATGAAATCATGATCTTGATGTCTAAAATGTTTTGAGGTGTTAATCAAACTTCTGCTCTCTGTATTAGGATCCTTCAGAAGCCGCAGCTGGTTAATGAGATCAATAAAGAGGCGCTGGGAAAGCTGCTGCCTGATGAGTTACTGGAACCTCTGGAGGAACAGTACCTGAGCAAACAACAGGTAACCTGAGCTGCAGCTACCTGTTTCATTTCAGTTCAGAGCATTTCAGTGGACTTTTTAGTTATTTTTAGTAGCTGTTTTTAGTGTCTGTTACTGTATGTTTTAAGTGACAGTGGCATGTCGTTGTGTGTTCAGGAGGAGTTGACGACTTACATCGGCCGTGTGCTGGAGGATGCAAAGGAGAAGTGGATTAAAGGAGAAGAACCGTCAAGAGAGGACGGCTGCTTCGTCAGTCCTGTGGCCTACGACATCATTCAGGTACAAAATGAATCATGTTAAAGCAGCTACAGTCAACATTTTGCAGCTCTCCTCAGCTTCATAAAGCTTTGTAGTTAGTTTCAGTTCATTGTTTAGCTGCTGGCCCACAACTTCATGGTTTTCAGGCAGCTGTTTTCAGAGACGAAGCTTTAAACACACACTGTATACACTACGGCCTCTGTAGCAAACAGCAGGCAGACACAGTTACAGACTAGTTGGTGAACATGGAGACCAAAAACAGAGCTAAAAGAGAATAAATATTAGACAGTGATCAGGTGGAAACAAACATGACTACACATGACTGATCATGTTGCTTCATAAGCAATTGTTTGCTGTCATTGAAAGATTGTGTAATAATGGTTTTTATGTTGAAATCACTAAATAATAACATGAAATGTGTTGTTATTGTTTAAGTAATAGTATAAGTCAGTATAATTCTTAGGTTTTGGCTCCTCAATGTTGCAGCAGTGACAACAAAGAGATAAACATCAACTCATCATATTTAACTGCGTCCATTACCCATCATCTTTTAGACCAGGACTAGTTCCAAAACAAGATTTTCCAGGCGGTTTCACATATTAACTGGAGCCAAACCGGATGAGAAACAAACTTTAAAGCTTGAGAAAAACATTAACCAACAAGGAAGAACCACTTTAAATTATTTATAAAAAGTAATTCCCTGTCAGATGAAGGTCACAGTGAAGCACTAACACAGCCGGAGTTAGGGGTTCAAGTCCTTGTCTTAGTTCGACTGTGCTGGAAGAACATGGCTGTGTACTTTGGATCTTTTTCGTTGATGTATATTAAGAAAATTGTCAGAGATGGAGTATTCTTATAGCACTGTCACTGATCTGTGATCCTTTATCTGTCTTTAGCTCATTAATGGAAGAGTGACTGACGCTGAAAAGCTTGTAAGAGACCGGTCCAAGGCCCAGAACATAACCTGCCAACTGAAAGGTTTAATGGAGAGGTAACAACGCTGATATTTTATTCTACATAGTGTCATTTTGAAAGTGCATTTTTGTTTTGATAACAGCAATCATGTGGACGTCAAAGTCAACTGTTTTAATTCAACTCCCGCAGGTTCAAGACCTTCCAAAACGATATCATCAGGCAGAACAGATCAAACAGCAGGCCGTTCATCAAGGCGAACCTAGGCTGCATCGAGCAGTTCACGTACGTTTCTAACATATAAACACTGTGGTGTGAGCAGACGCAGGTCCGTTTATATCAACGAGCTAATGTGACTTCTGTGCTTTGTCTGCAGGGATGTTCTCCTTAACAGGAGCCAACTGTTCCCAAAGGAAGTGCAGGAACACTGTTTGCTTATTCTGCGTGACATGAAACAATCTGCTCACATGTATCTATTAAAACCTGTGCATGAGACCCTCAAGGTACGTTTATTTACAACAGATTTAACAGCTTTTCTTTTTATTATTGTCGACAAATCTCATGAAAAGACCAAAACCAACATTAAATGTATCTACAGACAAGTATTATCTGTGTATCCAAAGACTGATATAGCTTATTCCTGTGTGCCATAGAGCTCCATTGTTTTCCAGAAACTATTAAAAACACCTGCTGCTCCAAATACTTACTGGAGCACCAAATGTGGTTTAATCTGTGACTAAAAATAGTCCCTAATAGGCCCCTAAAACTACAGTGAGCAGCTGTATAAGGAAATAACAGTATAGTAACAAACACAAGAACAAAATAAAATTTAACAACATCAACAATAAAGAAAAATAGCAGTTAAGAAGTTAGGGACAATTTTATGCTGAATTGCAGCACTGGAGTATGTATTATTGTATTATATTGTATTATTGTTTTATATTGTATTATGTTGTATTATTGTTTTATATTGTATTATGTATTGTAAATTCTATGCTACTGTGGATGGAAGTGTTAACCGTCTAATGCCTCATGTTTTTACCTCACGCAGCCGCAGTACCGCAAGCTGGGAACCAATGAATGGCTGAAGAAGCACATTTTTGATAAGCTGCTGGAAAGCATTAAACAAGAGCTTCAGGAGCTTCACGGTTCGGTTAAATCCTGTCACGAGGTAGAGTGAAGAAATCATGAAACACACTCTTCAACTAATGTCACTAACAAAGCACGCTATAGGTTGAATGTTTGGTATGTATTTTAGGTTTCAATTCATTTCCAGACAGTATGAAAATCAATCAGCAGAACACAAAAACTGACCTTTACTGCAATGAATTAAACAACTCAAGCGAGTTTCTACAGTCTGCACACTGATTTTCAAATTGTAAAGAAATTAGTGGAAACCAGTGGCTGCCTGAATGTGTAGTGTTTCTAATAATAAATAGATTAAAACATGTAAAACTCGAGTGGCAAATTACTCTCTCAGTTCAGCATCTTAATTGGCTTATCAAACTGTTTTTTTAACCAATTTCTGATTTGTTGATTGGATTAATTTCAGGAGCTGATTGGCCAGCTGCACCAGGAAGTGACAGCGGAGTACGTGAAGAGGCTCCTTAAAGGAGAAGTCAAACTGAGGAACAAGGAGCAGCAGGAGGAGGCCTGTGATATGATAATAGACAACGCGGAGAGTTTGCACGAATTGTTCACAAATACGGTGAGACTGGAGCACAAAAGTGATTTGACAAAATACTGAAGCATTATGTCACTGAGCTGACCACACAGTGTGATTAAACCAGGGGAAATCCAGTGTAAAAAAGAGATCCTCCTCAAATCAGGAGTCGAGTTGATTACTGTGTTAGGAAACTTGTAACTAATGTAACTGATTGTCTTCGCAGGGATCAAAGGAGGAGCGGTTGAGGAAAATCCTGACCATGATTGCAGAAGTGCTGAAACTCCAAGACCTCCCGGCCATACAGATGCAAGTAGTGTCACTGGGAACTGCTTTTCCTGACCTCAGGTAACCCTTTGCTTTGCATTAACTTAACATTATTTATTTATGACACAAATATATACAGCATTATTTCACACAGACGTGCAGTGGTCATGTTTAGGTATATTGTCTCAAGTGGGACTGGCCTAATAAGGAGAAAATAGTATCTTGATGTGAGGAGCTTACATAAGGATGAGCATAAACAAACAAAGAGCTGACAGGCAACAGGAAGGGAAAATACATTCAGATGTTTCCTGGAGATAAAAGCAGTCACACTCATTTTTCTAAGGCACTTACAAGTGTCAGTATATATCCTGTGGCACACTGAAGCTAACACAAGTACTGCAGTGAAATAAAAAGGTTAGAAACAGAGACAGGGTTCGCACACATCATGGAAACACCTGAAAATTGAAAATGTCCAAATATCCTGGAAATATTAAAAAAATGTTGTGCTGTGGACAAATTAATGTTACATTTAGAAAAAGACTGAACTGCCAAGCACACTATGAAAGCTAGTTAAGGTGGAGTGTCCCTTAAACCGTTTATGAGCCAGTGTTGTCCTGTATCGTATCATTCCTTGAAAATGACCTGGAAAATGACCTGGAAAAGTCCAATTTCTTAAAAAGAGTGGGAACCCTGAGAGAAGGAGCCTGTGGAGCTTGTTGTAGTGTGTCTGTTGGTGTAGTCAGTACTGCTGTCAGTCAGAGTAAACTGTCGTATGTGGTTGATTTGTTTCCCTCAGCACCGTCTTTAGTCCTATTCTCTGTTTTCTAAGTCAGACTTGTAACACAAATGCCTTTAATTCAGAGTGTTGCACCCAAGTTCTCGCCTTAAAGAAAGACATTACAGTTTTGAAATACAGTTGTCTGCCAGGCGATGAAAAGATGGATATGACTCTCAATGTCTGCACAGGAAGTAGCTGTAGCGTTGAGATTAGTTTAAGGGCTGGAGACTGGAGACAGGCAGAAACTGCTTTCCTGGGTTTTTCCAAAAATATAAAAATCAGCCAGTCGCCATCATTAATTCACTTTATATCCTGTTTTTAAATTCCATACAATTTTTGTGGTTTTACTGGCAGATACTTGACACACTGTAACTAATATAAGCTTATGCTTTTGGCAGTATTGTGTATGTAGCAGCTGTAGCTCCATACACATCACAGTGAAAGCATTCACAGACTAGAAGTGTATTTGCTAATAGTTTCAGTTCATTAAAAGTAGTGGTGACAGTTTGCTCTGGAGATTCAACCTGGTCCACCCAAGTAATATTGCCACACACAGACGGACACAGTGATACTAAATCAGCATATTTCTGTAACTGAACCCGTGTAACAACCCCCCGCCCGAGTGTCTCTGACATTAATAATAATAATAAGAAGAAAGCTCATGTAACATTATATTATTAGGATTAAAATGTTTTTGACCGTTCCCTCCCTTCTTTTGCCCACAGTGAGAAACATGTTTCAGCCCTGCTGAAGCTCAAGACCAACTTCACTAAAGCCGACAGGAAAACCGTCAAGGAGACTCTGTCAGAGACTTTAAAGGTCAATGTCAACTGTGTCGCTGTTCGTCCGTTTTTCTCCACAGTTCAGGTCAAATGAGCTGTAAAAACTTCAGTAACAGTACGTTCAGTTCTCCTCGCTCAAGTCATTTCTAAGTTAGCTGAAAGTTGGCTTGTACAATATCATGTATAACAGTGTGTGTGTGTGTGTGTGTGTGTGTGTTAGATTTGTGAGTTTGATGAGTTGGTGTTTTCAATTCATCTCAGCTATCTCAGTGTGTGCGATGAGTGTTGATAATGATGAGCACAGCAGAGGATGTTTGTAAAGAATGTAAAGAATATTGTCTGCAGACCAACTGTAAAATATAAATGCTGTATTTACTGTGTGAATGTATAATATTGAGTTCATTGTGAACATGTTGCTGGTAAACATGGTGCTTTTAACTACTTATCAGGCCAGGTGTGTGTGTGATGGCATTTTTTAATGAAATGAGGACGAGGTCAGTTTTTTGTAAGGGAAATTCTGATAGTGTATACTGTATTTTTTTATATCAGATCAGTGTTATATATTTTGTTATTTTCATTCTCACATGTGCAATAACGGTAGAGGTCAAGCTTTCATTTTAAAGTCGTCTATGTTTGTTTCAGGTCATTGGATGTATAGAATGTGTAACGTGTTAAATGTAAGTTATGTGTATGAATAAAGTGATTTATTGAAAGTAAAAAAAAGATTCTGACATATTTTAATCTGGACCCAAGTGGTGGACCAACAACTTAAACAACAACAAGCTCTTGAATAATGTTTTTTTTTAGGGGTTTTCCACAGGGAGGTCAGAGGTCAGGGTTTGTAATGATTTTGATTGAACACTATATCAGGAGAGTATTAAAACCAATGATCCTTTGCTTTAAAAACCAACATCAAAGTGACCAGCAACACAAGCCGACATTGGTCCTGAACAATACCGGGAAATCATTGGCTCTGTTGTGTGGGAATAGAGGCCGTACACACTGACTTGAGGTGTTTTTCAGTTTATTATTTCTGAGCTATAACTGCAGCTTTAATGCCTCGACACAGGGAAAAGGATATGAGTCTGCAAGGGTGTTCACAAATTTCTGTCAGCCACTAGTTCTTTTTTCCTGAAAGTCCTGTCTGCGTTGGTGTAAGAGGGAAGATACGCTCAGGAAAACGGGGGGCATGACTTCCTCTTGTAAAACAAGAAATCATTAAATCATTAAAGGCCATTCTGTACTGGGAATATCCAGGCTGAGCAGTAACTGGAAGCTGGTTGGTGGAAATCCACGGTGCTTTCCTGCTCCGAGTTGACTCAAGGATGCTGCTGTTTCGGATTTAGTAATCGGGGCCACTGCTGGTGTCTCTCAACAAAACCACTGAGTCACAAGTTCATCAACCTCATATTAGTCACTCATTAAAAATGTTTTATTATCAGGTCTGAAATCAAATGAAACAGGCAGTGTTCACATGCATTCCTCCTCCCCTGGACTTTTCCAAGTGTAAACATTGGGGTTAGGAGGAGCATTTTTCTCAGTACAGCCTCACAGAGCTGCTAGAATTGCTGTAAGAATTTAGTCTTGCTGTTTTTTTTTAGCCATGATAGCAGTGTGGTTTTAGGAATGACAATGCTGGCATGTGGGTTGGCCATCCACTTTGGTTCAGACAGAAATATCTCTACTACTTGCTTGTATATCTGCGCATTTATTCCAGTGAAAGTTAGTACATGCATTCATGTTTCTGTCAGTTTGTAATCACATTAGTGATCTCCAAGTTTTTCCAAATGTTACTACACTAACACAGTAGTGTGCTTACTGAGACGGTGAACATCTTAAACATTATGAACATCAGCTTGTTAGTACTGGGTTATGGTTAGCGTTTAGCTCAGAGCACTGCTGTGAAGATGTTTATGAAATTTGATACACACATTTTTCCCCACTGACTTTTCCTTTGGCACCATCATTTGTTCAACATTTTTATTTGTTCAATAGACCCATGGATGTATAAAGAGAACTGGATACAACCACCATGTTAAGCCCTCTGTTAACTTGAATGGGGATGAAATGATTTAATCGTTCAGCTCTTCTAGATTTGGGTAAATAACAATTCAAAATCCTGATTTTTTTATTGAATCATGCTGATGTTTATTTGCTGGATTCCCTGCAGCCAAATCTGTAACCTTCTCAACACAATAGTCATAAAAGAATACAGTATACAACATTTAAAAAGTACAACTTTGTACTAATATACTAAAAATATACTTTAAAAAAAGTCATACTTCTCAAAGACTGAAGCACACATTCAATACTGTTGAAGAAAAATCATTCCA